CAGGTGATGGCAGCAGTTCCTTCAGTGTCCATACTAAGTTTTAATTAGGAATCCCTCGCTAACACCAGTGTTAAAGTCTTCTGATGACCAGAACTTTTATACAATTAGTAATGGTTATAAAATGGGAGCAGTTGTATAGAGCTAACTGCCTAGCCCACCCCCTATTGACTCGCAAATGCGACTCAACAAAGCCCCACCCACTGAGTAACAATCACACTCTCCCCAAGTGTTTTTAAAAAGAATTTAAGAACTTACCCACTCAAAATGGCTGCCTGGAAATTGCTTTCTTCCTCTTTCCTAGCAAGAACTGGCCTGGAAAGCCTCCTTATCTTTCTCCTTTCCTGGCAGAAACCGCCTGGAAAGCCTCCTTCTCTTTCTTTCAGAAACTGGCCTGGAGAGCCTCTTCCTCCTCCCCTGTCCTGGCCGAAACACTGTCATTGATATCAGATCTGCAATGACATTCAGGTTAATTCACACTTCTATGACCCTACTGTGGATGCCATTACTGGGATTCCTTCATCACATGTAAGCTAACAATAGGAATTGCATGGGTCCTGTTTTTCCAGACATCCTTGAAGAGGGGAGAAAAAGCGATAGCTATAGGATAATGGATGGTGCAAAGGAGTCCACAGCCCTGGCATCTTTGCCCACTAATCCACCCTGCTTCAGAAATGCATCCCAATCACCCACATTCACACTCCAATGTTACTACCTCTGAAAACTGACTTCAAAGTGATTCAAACCCACTTGAAAGGATGCACCACCATCTCACTCTTTCAATACTTGGATTTAAAGGGCAGAAATTCCCTTTAAATGTTGGTGCTTTTCCTTTGTTAATCAGCTTAGTCCAGCAGCTAGCAGCATACTGTCAATTTGCTTGACTCTACTCCTCTGCAGCTTGCCCAACTCTCCTTGTGCTGTGGAAGCTGCAGAGTCCTCCATCTCATCCAGGACCCTCAGCAACTGGATCCATTCAGGTGCAGTTTCTCCTTGTAAGCCTTATTCTATTCCCCTCTAAACACCTTTGCATTTCTTAGTCCTTGTGAAAATGCATGGTTGTATGTTATGTATGATTGTTGAATCCCCTTTAAAAATAAAACTCATTACTTGTTTGAAAACCTGCCTCTGGAATTCTTAGTGTTTCTGGGCTTGGTATACATAGGGATTTGGTCCCAAGGCTAAGTAACCCAGCCACTATACAGTGCTACCTTTGAGCTAATGGATAATTCCCCAAAACATAGATTGATGTTTGAGTGTCCTTTTTGGACAGGTGTACACCCCAGGGTTACAGTATAGGGAAGAAGGAGAGGTTCCCTTTCATCTACCACACTATTTCATCTACCAAAATGGATAGGGACGTGCCAATATATTGATATTGGCATACCCCTATCCATTTTCATCTATTTCTTTGGGAATGGTGTGGATTATTTATTTTTTGAGCTGTAGGTTGACTTGATTCACTACTTTCATCTTCTGATTAAATAATAAGATATAAATGAATATGCCGAAGACAAACATGCAGTAGCAAGGGTGAAGAATACCAGGGAAATTGAGACTTTTCTTTCCCTATAGCACCCTTTTGAGATCATAAAAACCTTGGGGACTTCAGAACAAGATCAACTTTGTATGTTTCTAATACAGATATTGATTGCAGTTTTTTTTTTATTTGACCTTCTATTATATCTTCAGTTTGCCATGCTATTTCAGCTACCTTGTGGCAAAATCAGAAATAAAATATAAACATGAAATAGAAGAGATTTAAGTCTTAAATTTCTCCCTCCAAAAAGTTTAAACCTTTTCTTTTACAAATGGAATGTGTACTATAGGTGAAGGTATGCCTCATTGACAAGGTTGTCAAGTTGTGTCTGACCAAAGGGGGCAGTGCCCATCTCTGTTACTAAGCCAAAAAGCCAGCGTTGCAAGAGACTACTCTGTGATCATGTGGTCAGCATGATTGCACAGAATGCGGTTTACCTTCCCATCAAAGTGGTACCTATTTATTTAGTTGCAATTGCATGCTTTTGAGCTGCTAGGTTGCCAGAAGCTGGGTCTAGTGATGGGAACTCACCCCATCATGTAGCACCTGGGCCTCGAACTGCCAACCTGCTGATCTTGCAATTAGCAGAGTCAGCATCTTAACCACTTGAGCCACTGCATCCCAAATGTGTATAGTACACATCCCAATGTGTACTATAATCCCAACTAATACAAGGAAGCAGTATGTGTGAACTTCATCCACAACCCATATACCTTACTTCTAAGCATTCTTAATTCTAAAGTTTTTTGGGCTGTGTGGCCATGTTCTAGAAAAGTTTCTTTCTGCTGTTTTGCCAGCATCTGTGGCTGGTGTCTTAGTTCTGTTTAAATTGTAATGATGCCAAAATCCATATTGGTGTGTGTGATGAGGGGAGAAGAGTAGTTTATTTCATATGGATTTGGGGTTAGAAGATTAAAAATTGTACCAGTATAGAAAAAAATTGTCATTAGATCAGTGGTGTACACAAAACTAACTGAACAAGTAAAATTTCTTAAAAATGTAAAATATATTAGATAATTCCTGTGGTACTGGGTATCCATAGTTTGACTTTGCCAACAATAACCCATTCTGCTGTTGTTTGTCCTCTGAAGTCCCACACAAATTTGTGGAGTGGTTTCCCTATCCCCATATGGGAAAAAAAGGGACACATTGTGGCTCATACATTTGTTATAGTCAGTTTTTAGAAAAAAAATTTTTAAAGACTATATGATAGTCTTTTTATTTTATTTTATTTTTATTTAAGGATATCATTGCTGTCTTAAGATCTGTCTTAATTATAAAATTATGATTTTCAAAATATGGATTTTGGTATGCTTAGGACTGCAGCCATAGTATTATTCTAAGTCAGAAGTTAGCAAAGGGCCTTTTTTTGCAAAACTAAAATATATGGAGAGTTGCTTCTCATTGACATTTACCTTTTAAATAGGTTGAAGCCCTTTCCCCCCACATTAACATTTTTTCAAAAAAATTGAAAACTTGAAGTGAACTTCCAGCCACTTCCTGTTTTGTTTTCTTGATTTTATAGCTGTTCGTATGATTCCTAGAAGGTCTCAGGACAGGGAAAAAATGGGTTTGGAACAGAGTTTTTTCCCATTCTGAAAGAGGAAAATGCACCCCCTCAAGCTTGATTCCTGGCAGTAAAGTTTAAATTAAAATATTTTGATATTTCTTTTGGTCTCACTTTTGGATACTAGACCGGCCCTTTGATGGAATGTTGCCAAGGGAATTAGCTGAAAGTGTGTTTGATCCTTTGGCTAAATGAGATTCTGCATGCTTAGTATAACTCAGGGGTAGGCAACCTTTTTGAACGGGGGTCCAGTCCCCCGAAGTCCTCCCCTCTACCGGGCCGAGGGGGGGGGAATGGTGGTGCGTGCACTCATGCACGTATGCGCACCCCCCGCTGCCTCACGCAACCTCCCCGCGTGCTGCCGCCACCACTGCCACCGCCACCACTGCCACTCCCCGCCACCGTGTGCGACCCCCCGTGCGCTGCTGCCACCACTGCCATTCCTGCACATGTGCAAACGCATCACAGCCACCATTTTGGAAATCAGAATGGCAGCCACAGTGTGCGTGGCCACATGGCGGCCAAAACGTGCAGCAGCAGTGGCACGTGGTGGCGGTGGCGCGCAGCGGCGCACGGTGGCGGCAGTGGTGGTAGGGGTCCGCCTGGGCTGGAACCGGCCCATGGGCTGTAGGTTGCCGGCCCCTGATATAACTGCTTGGTGACTGGTTTTTTCTTTTATTACTATTTATTTATGTATTTTTTTTAAAACAAAAACAAAAACCTATCCTACTTATTTGTTTTTATACCAGCCAGCATAGTGGAATGGTTTGACTTGGACTCTGGGGGACTAGGGTTCAAATACCTGATCACATATAAAAACCCACTGGGTGACCTTGGGAAAGTCACATTCTCTTAGCCTTAGATGAAAGCAATGGCAAGCCTCCTCTGAATAAATCCTGCCAAGAAAACTCTGTGATCATCATAAGTCATTGTCAACTTGAAGGCATATAAA